TAACTAACTAGTACGCGGATATAATATATAATATTTACTTTTCATCTTGAATGCTTAACATATATCATGTAGCTATGGCCATTTACCAGTTATGCGAACATAAGCTGTTACGCGATAGAAATATTAGAGACACTATATAGATATATTATGATTTTCTATGACTGTTAACACTCTCAGGGGCAATAGGAAGCAAAGTAATTATTGAGGGGGCAGTAAAGAGGCATCATCGGCTGGTTTTATATATTTTTTTATATAATTAGAGAGAGAGGGAAGAGAAAGTCACTAGATAAAGAGAGAGAGAGAGTAGGTAAATTGAGATGGGGACAGGAAAACGGTGATACGGTGTGTATGCGAGCGCAACGGGGTACAATTAGGTGCGTGGCAGATTGTGTGCAAGGGGATGGGAGGTGGGAGGCCAGGGGGAGGGAGGTCGAAGGCAGGGGGAGGGAGATGGGAGGCAAAGGGGTGGAATGTGAGAGGCAAGGGATGAAGTGGAGGCAGGGGGAGGGAGGTGGTCGCAGTGGGAGGGAGGTGGGAGAGAAGGACTCCCGCGCCCTTCTAATTAAACTTGGAGATCCATGCTCATGGACGGACGGACGGACGGACGGACGCTCGCACGGACGGACGATCATGCGATTCTACAAGCTGCATCTGACTATGTCAGATAAGCTAACAACTACTGCTACTGTTATACCATAATGTTATATGGTGTTTGTGATCATCAACGTAGCTGTAAACCGTACATACCCGTTATATGCAACCTTCACCCTCACTTGCATGTCCTCGTTGTTAGTGAAATGCATGTTCATAATTGTGAGGAGATGCTTTTGCTAACATCCAACCTCCAGTCCCTTGATAGATTGCTTCAAAACACTGCAACAAAATACATTTTCAACAGACGATCATAATCACTGAAGCAGCGCAACAGCATTGTGTAAGAGATCATAAAATTCTGCTGTTACTGCTGCTGTTGTTACTGGGCGGCTACTGCTGCTGCTTATATGGCCACGAGCATACACCTACACACATATTTCCCTAAGCACACGTGTCAACAATTTGTGGAAGTGAGCAAATATATATCAGGTTGTCATCCACTTGTCATATATCAGGTCTGTACAGGGAAGTGCAGGATATCAACACAGCAACTTGCTCATGTAAAATACAAGCATATCCTATTCCATGTAGCGCTAAATTGATTCTAAATTAGGCATTCATGTTAAAATTAAACTCAAATTGTTGACAAATTATTAAACAATGACTGTTTAAAAGTAAACTCATGCACAAGGAGAGAACAAAGATTAGTAATGAGTACATTGGATAACTACATAAAAGTGGCGCAAAAACTCATTTAAGCCGATCATCTCTGACCTCTATCGTTCTGACCTGATATTTGTTATAAAAGGGTTAAAGCCTTAAAGTAACTATTGCGAGAGTTTTCCAGTGTTTTCACCACTTTCATGACACCTACCGTTATTGCTTGAGTAACAGCAATTGTCTAAATTAACAATAAATGTCTTAGAACCTTCGTATTCGCGCTTATCTGCCATAGACAAAATACAGGCTCTCCTAAATCATGCACTTGTTTTCAATTAATCACCGACACAAATACAAGTTTACCAATTCTGCCTTTAGGCATTATCGCGACACGATAAAATGCATTGCTGTTATGATGTGTTCATATCCAATTTTCTATGCTATAACTGCATAAAAACTTAGTATTTTTAATGTTGGTGCAATCAGTGATATTTTCGCGGTCAGGTGAGACTATATTCAGCTATATTTAATTTTTCTGAGCAAAAATCTCGCAATACACACTTTAATGTGGGCATCGAACACACATTACTTACTGCTAAATAACTGCTACATAGATTATGCTGCATGTAAGTATATAAGAACTTGAGTAAATTCTTTAGGCCACCATTTTTTATTTTGTTGGTTTACAGAATTTTTGTTGTTGTTGTTGACTCGGTAAGGTAAAAAAAAAATTTTAAAAAAATGTTGTTTTGTCAGATCAAACAAGTCGAAATACAGTGATACTGTTAAGCCCTGTCTACACTAGCAAACTTTAGTTTGCAAACTCGAGCAAACTCGAGCAAACTCCGAGTTTGGCCAGAAAAGTTTTCCAAAGTTTGTCAGTGTAGACCAGTTGATAAACTTCGGCAAACTAGTTTGCAGAAGTTTGCAGAAGTTAGGCCGTGCACCTTC